GTTATCAATTTTTGGCTATTATGAGTGGTGTTACAACAAACATTGTTGTACATGTCATTTGGGGCATGTGTGCTCACATTTCTGGGGGGAAAATACCTAGAACTTCTGCCATACAGGGTATGTTCAGCTTTATAAAATACAGACAAATTGTTCTCCAAAGTAGTTTTACCAATTTACATTTCTACCAGAAGTGTATGAAAACCCGACTGCTACACAACTGTCAACATTTGGCATTTTGTCTTTTCCATTTCAGCCCTTCTGGCTGGTATGTAGTGACATCCTATTATATAGGCTGTAATTTGAATTTCCATAATGACTAATGAGATGGAGTGGCTTTTCTTGTGTTAACAGGACTTCTGGATATCCTCTTTTATGAACTAAGTGCCTGTTCACATCTTTCGCCAATCTTTTAACTGGGCTACTTTTTATCCCCTATTGCTTGATAGGAGTTCTTTACATACTCTGGATACAAAACATACAAGAGTATATACTGAAAATATTTTATGCCTTTTCATTCTCTTTAAGAAGTCTTCTAATGAACAGAAATGACTACTTTCATCGCATTTCTTAGTGTTTTCTTATGGTTAGTGTTTTTTGTATCTTGTTTAAGAAAGCTTTTCTTATCCCAAGATGCTGAAGACAATCTCCTAATCTCCTCTGTTATCCTCTAGAAGCTTTATAGTTTTACCTTTCACATTGAGAATTTAAATCCTGGACTTGAGTTTTTGTGTATGGTGTCATGTAAGGGTCAAGAGCCTCCTCCCCGCCCAAGGCTATCTAGGTGATCCAGTAGCACTTATTGCAAAGACGGTCCTTTCCTCATTGTTTGGTAGTGCTACCTTGTCATAAATCAAGTGTCCATATACGTACGTATGTGTGGGTCTGTTTCTGGATTTTTAATTCTGTGTATCCTTGTGTCTATACTATAATGTCTTACTGTAGCTTTACGATACATCTGAAATCTAGTAGTGTGATTCCTCCAAGTTTATTTTCCTTATTCAGAAATGTCTTAGTTATTCTTAACCTTTTGTTTTACCTAACTTAATTCTCACAAAAATCCCGTGAAATGAGGTAGTTTTGACTTTTTTCTCCATTTCACAGATTAGTAAAGTCAGAGAAGTAAAGAAATTTGCCCATAGCTATTGAGTGTTGGGGAGGAATTACAGCCCAGATTTGTCTGATTCCAGACCTAAGTACTCAAGTGCTTCATGTGCTGTCTCTTTAATCCTTAAGCCAGATGACCCAGTGAGGGCATTTAATATGAATGCATTACAATTTTAAGAAATTCTAATGCTCTAAATCAACCATTTCCAGTTAAAAATCTTGCTTGGCAATAATAAAAGGTCACTTTCCTGGTGAGAATCAGGAAAAAAAGGAACAAGAGATAAAAGGTTCTTGGATTCCCTCCACAGCCCCCTCTTTCTCCAGCAGAATAGTCACACTCCTCACCTGGACTTGTAAGATCCCTGCAACTTGGATCCCCTTCACCTTTCCAGCATTAATGCTGCTGCCACACCTCTCTCTTCTTGACTCTTGGGACATGCTTGACTACTTACATTCTCCTACTAAGCCAAGGTGTTTCACATAGCCACACCTTTGCTCGAATGCTCTCTCCATTCCTGGCTATTTCCTCCTTTTTCTTCAAAACCTGGGTATCACTTCCTTTGGGAGGCCCTCCAGAGCATCATCTGGGTTGGGCACTCCTCCTGTTCTGTGCCCCCATCTTGGCATGTCACACATGCCAGTTCAGTTGTCTGTCTCTTCAACTATACTGCAAGGCACTGGGCCAGCATTACCGCTGTATTCTGTAATGTGAATGGTGGCTAACAGGGCAGATGTTTGCTACAAAGTCCTAAGAAAAATCAGAGACAGCTATGTGCTATAATTAAATAATGGACTCTAAGAGGAGGCCTGAGAGAAATGATTTCTAATAGGTCCAGGACACATTCTTTGGTAGGAGTGGCAAATTAGAAAGCTTAGGGGAAAAGATGGAAATACGTTCTAAGATGGACATGGGCTCTTAGTTGAGACAGAAATAGGACTGAATGATAGAAAGGTTAGACATTCAATGGTTATGTATAGTATGGCAGTCTGTGACTCATTAAAAGACTTCAGAAGTAGTAAAATATTCATACAAAGTATACAATTAAATTAGCAACAGGTAGCTTCTCAGATATATTCATTGTATAAGCTGAAAGTTTGGCAATGAGGGTACTGCTTCTCTTTCTCGCCAGCTTTGAAAGTGATGGCTGAGGTGGGAATACATTAGAAAAAAGAGAAGCAGTTTCTCCAATGGGGACATTTTCAAGAAAATAAGACTTGACATTCTTATTTGGGTAGAAGACAGGTCAGCTCTGGCCCGCCCCAACTCCCTAACACTAAGGCTGCTCTAATGCTTCCTTCCAGTCCTTGGTACAGCCCAAGGCAGTGCAGCCCAAACTGTGAAGTCTTTGAGAACCTCCAGGTAAAAAGCTCACTAACTTTCTTCATTGAGAACATAAGCTTTATTTTCATAAACATCTTTTCCAAGTGCACCAAGCTAGCCCTCGTTCACCACCAGCAAAATGGAGAAAAGGAAAAACTGGATGGTATTTAAGTCAGGTTTTCCATATTTCCTCAGTTAATTCCCATTTTAATGGCCATTTTGTTCACTGAAAGGCAGAAGAAGGGATTAAAAGCCTTTCAGAGAAGGGAAAACCATTTTAGTATTCCATGTTCTTCATGGTTTTCTCTACTTGTTTTAGCTGTGCTCAGAACAAGGGCTTACTTTTCCTTGCTTTAGAAATTCAGATTCTGGGCCATCATAAGGTTGTGGATATTTTGGAAAATAGTCTTCTGGTATAGGAAATATCCTTAATTAGCTATTTTTTCCTCATAATTTGGGGGGGTTTAATTGACACTTGGGCAGCTTAGGCCATTTAAGAAAATCTTCAAATAAGAAAAGCTTCTATCTCCAAGTTATGCCTTATGTTAGTTTCCAGGAAATACATATCAAAGACCAGGGATTCATACTAAAAGCTAGATGCTTCAATGAGAACTTATTAACCCCCTCCTATCTTTCCTAAAAAGAATTACATGGGTTGCAAATATGAATGACTGATTCATTTTCTGCCCAGATATGAAAATCAATTCATAATATTTTCCTGTTTGGGTGAGAGAAGCAGCTATTGGGAAGAATAAACAAAAAGCTGGTTGGAAAGCCATAAAGCTCCACTGTTCCTTTATGCTTTCTCTACTGCATTGCTCAACAGGAGTTCAAAGGCAGTAGGGTCCCATGTGACTCTATACATAACTGTATGGTGCATAAGCACTTCTGTGGCACGTGGTTTAAGTGCAGTGTCATTTGGTGATCAGGAGATCACCTTGAAGATCCTCATGGAGTTTAGAGATCTTGTAAGATGCTAACAATCAGGGCAAGGTTCTCCTTAGTGAAATGAACTCCATGGAGTGAAGACTGTGGTGCCCCGATGGGCTAGACATTTGCCAAAGAGAGCAGAGACCAGCAGACAGTGCCAATTCTAAACAGAATCTTTTCAGCAGAATGACAAGTAGGGTGCCAGAACATCCTCACCTCTTAGTAGGCAAAGGAGACTAAGGATATGAGAAAACAACTCCTGATCTACCTGATCCCCTATTGCTTTTCGATTTAGATCTAAAAAAATAAAAAATTGTTTGGTAATTCCGGCTGCCTGAACAGAAATTACTTTCTGAGGAGCCAGAAGCCCTGACTGGAAAAGGGTTCTGGGGGATTATGGCGGAGAGCTGTCAGGCATCAGACCTGTGGGGGAAGGACCCAGACTGCATATCAATAGTATAAGTAACTGCTTCAGTGGTTCCATAACATGGAAACAGCGATTGTATGTTCCAAAGACTGAACTACTGTTTTAAGGACAGAGGGACCTTTGTATGCATTCTTAGTGAAAAGCTTATTTTTAAGGATGTTTGCTGAAATTCCATGTTTTTAATATTTATTTTCAAAAGAGCAGTGTCCTTTTATAGTACATGAGAAATTATAATATCCCAGTTTTTTGGTTACAAAGTCATATATAGATAGAGGAAGAATAATTTTAAATTGCAAACCATATTGCATGGGAAGAGGGAAATGAGATGCTAGATATGGATTTATTAGGTGATGGGGATTATTCTCTCTATACTTTAATATATTTCACAAGTTTTGAACTGTGGGCAAGATTCTGCCTAAAGACTGACAGAAGCATAGGTGACCAATCCCAGAACCATGCCTGGCACATCCCTGCTGTAATCTTCTGATACCTCCTTGAAAAATGTCATGTGAGAAGCTTATAGTGACCCACTCTTTGTTGAAGGGGAAAGTATGTAAAAAGAAAGACAACTGCAGAAACCCTGTGGATACAAATTACAATTTTTTCTTTTCTTTTTTTACTTCCTAAGAGATTTATTTTATCCTTCTATTTCTAGAACTTTCCTAAGTTGAAAATTTTCAAACATGAGATAGTGTTAGATCTAGGTTGAATAAGAATTTTGCAAAACACAGAATGATGATTACAGACAGTAATAACCAGCCTAGTTAAAAGCACATTCAGCAGGATGCCAAAATATACCAAATCCTCATATAAACAGCATGGATTACATTAACAGGCCACCCTGGGTGAGTACAGAGCCTTATTCCCAACACTCTCACCTATCTTACTCTCATCCTACGGTTATATAACCTTTAGAATGGAATTTGCAAATTCCTCCAACCCTGCCCTGCTTGCTGATAGAGCTGAGCTGAGCCAGTGGCTGGCAGGGGCATAATCTAATAGGCGAAACTGGAAACACACAAATTCACAGTCCTCTTGTCTCAGTCCAAAGACTGTGCAGGCAAGGAAAGACAGACTCGCCCCTGTCTCCCTCCTCCCCTCCTCTGGCCTAAGTTTACGCTGACTTCACCCAACAGGCACCTGACCCTCCCAGATGAGCTGGGAGGGGCTAAAGCCCCGTGTACGGCCATGGTGGGGGTGGAGGTGCAGGCAGCAAACAATATTTAAGATGCTGACTTTGTGGAGTATTCAGGCTTGAAGGAAGGCTATAGGATAGCCACTAAGCTCCACTTTCAGGAACTCAAGCTTCGAGAAAGGCTAAGAAAGAGCAAGGAAAGAAAAAAAAAAAAAAAACAAAGTGGTGAGACCATCCAGAGTGAAAGTATAAGGTTGTAGTTTGCTACAGCTTTGCAGACCTCAGCTGGGCATATTCTGATTCTCCAAGGAAGATCCTTCCTCACTCAGGCCCACAAAAGATGGTGAAAGAGACACTCTCAGCTGTGACCTGGCTCTGCATTTTCATAGTGGCCTTTGTCAGCCACCCAGCGTGGCTGCAGAAGCCCCCTAAGCATAAGACACCTGCACAGCTCAAAGTAGCCACCTGCTGTGAGGAGGTAACGGAGCTCAAGGCCCAAGTCGCCAACCTAAGCAGTCTGCTGAACGAACTGAGCAAGAAGCAGGAGAGGGACTGGGTCGGCGTGGTCATGCAGGTGATGGAGATGGAGAGCAACACCAAGCGCATGGAGTCACGGCTCACAGATGCTGAGAGCAAGTACTCTGAGATGAACAATCAGATTGACATCATGCAGCTGCAGGCAGCGCAGACTGTCACTCAGACCTCGGCAGGTAAGGAGAACATGTCCTCATGCTACTCACCACCTCCCCCATCAAATAGCAGGGTGTTTCCTGTCTATGGCATTTCTTCTAGATCACTCGGTCATCAGAATGGTCACTGGGGGTTCTTTTGGGATATACTTTCCCTTTAGTAAAGGCTTATGGAATATTTCTTTTGATTACTAATGTTCTGTAAATTTACCTAGTACCTTCACAGGTCTCTTTTATTCACACAGTATTACAGCACATTAGAAAGGTATGAATTACCATCTTGGAGCACTGAGAGATTACATGATCTGACCAAAGTCACATAGCAAGTGAGTCTTAGAAGCAGGGTGCAAGCTTTCCTGGTTGGTACGGCTATTCCACTTCCTTACCAAGAGCTGACAGGCTGTACCCCCAATCCCAAGGAAGAAGTGAACACCAAACTATAACATCTGTTGCTCTGAATGCAAAATTTTGCCAAAAACAGTTCTCTGGTGTCCCTAAGGTATAGAAGGAATGAGCATTAATGGAATTTTGTGTCCTCTCTCTGCAATCATAACTCTTCTCACTGGCTCAGAATTAAGTGTAGAGACACTGCTCATAACCATTTGAACCTTTGTGTTGAGGAAAGGAGAGGCTCCTCAGTTTCTCAATTCTGATATTTCTATTTTCCCAGTGTCTCTTACAGGAAATAAGAAAATGCAATGCTGAAATATGGATTTTTAATAGGTCAAAAATAAAATACATTTAATGTTTTCTTCTGCAAAATAACTTTCAGTTTCTGGTTAGCTTGGCTCAGACAGGCCAACATGAATCGATTGTTTAGAGATAAATTTGATTTTCTGAGATTATCAGGAAAATATTAGTTGTAAGGAGCATATCCTATAGATACATCATTTCTTGCTGATATAAAAACTGTTGGTTCTCCATGCCAGCACCTCGGGGCCCACCTTGGGGCCCATCCCGGGACATGGGGTATGGAGCCAGGGACCAGACCCCCCTCCCACAACCAGGCACCCCACGCCAGTGCCTTGGGCCTGCCCTGGGATCCGGGGCATGGAGAAGAGGACCAGGCCCGCCTCCCACAACTAGGCACCCCATGCCAGCACCTTCGGGCCCGCCTGGGGACCCAGGGTATGAAGCTGGGGACCAGACCCTCCTCCCACAACCAGACACCCCATGCCAGTGCCTTGGGGCCCACCCCAATACCTAGGGTACGGTGGAGCCAGGGACTGGACCCCCCTCCCACAACCAGGCATACTGTGCCAGTGCCTCGGGGCCCACCTAGTGTCCTGCGGTATGGAGCCAGGGACAAAAGACAAAACAAAACAAAAAAACTGTTGGTTGCATTAAAAACCAAGTCAAGAGCAAAGACATGATTAGCTTTGAATGAGTAAGTCATTGATTACCCTGAGTTCAAATGGAGAAAAAGTTTTAACATGAAATTAAGCTTGAAAATTCTGTTATCTAAACCAACGTGTACAAATCACTTTCTAAGCTTGAATTTCCTTACCCTCAGTTTGGGATTAGAAAGGTATTCTCAGGCTATTTTCCAGACAAGTGAGTCTTGATTTGGTCTGTGAGATGAGACCAGACACACGGAAGGCCAGGCCAGACAGAGGAATCTGGCCATGCTACCTCCTGCTCCTCCAAATGGGACTTTTTCACCCAGCAGGGAGTTTCTTGGGGGTCAAATACAGCTCTGCTGATAGGCCTCTTACTCTTCTTGCCCTGGACAACATTCCTTATATTTTTTTCCCTCTATAAGCAGGTGCTGGGTCACCTTGATATTTAAGTGAGTAGCCCCTTGGAGAAAGCAGTAAGTTGGTACTTTCACTAGTAATAGGAAGAAAAGAACTCTGATGGTGAAGGCAAGTGTACCCTGTTTCCCCTCCTCCAACATGCTGTGAGTGAACCAAGGCGTCTCAGACAACTCCCATGGTGGCAGTGTTACCATCTACCATCCTGTGCTCTTCTCTAAGGTCCTCATGCAGTGGCCACCAAGGAAAGAAATCCAAGACACAGAAGGCAGGAAGTGTCTCCTGGACAGTGAGTGAGAGCCCTGCTCTCTGAATCCTGTCAGAAGAGGCTGTCTATTCCACAATGCTCTTTGATATTTAGAATAGGGAGACAAAACCTGACATAAAGGAGTAGCCCCAAGGGCAGCTAAGAAAGCATTTAAATCAGCCCCAGAGTGAAAACTGGCTTGTCTGATGCTCTCATTTCCTCGTTTTAATAAAATTTCCAGGAGATGGCCTCAAAGCGTTCCTCAGGGTGCTTTGTTTTCATATGAGGATCTAACACTGTTAGATTGACAGAGGGAAAGATAAGATTGTAAATCTATCTCCATTAATTGGGCCCCAGTTGGCAGTAGCCATTACCTCTGAAAACAACAAAAACAAACCAAGAAACAACAACAAAACCAGGCCCTATGAGATACTTATGACTTAACTTGTAATAGAAATGGCTGCCCAAGAAGTCTGAATCTATTCAACAGGAGTATCTGTTACATGGCCCTCACACACGTAACACTCCTAGAATTCATGGCTTAGAACTACAGCAGGATAATTTCAGATTTAACCTGAAATCGCCTGTTTGTCCTGTTGATGCTATCCAGGTGAAGGGCTTCCCCACTCCTCTGCCCCATCATTAGTGAAGTCAAAACATATGCCCTTCTTGATCTCCTGATGCCCACCTCTCCCAAATCCAGACACTGCCGGGTAATTAACACCCACAGGGATCCTCTGGTAGAAGCAAAGTCTTGGTTTTTAAACATCCAATTCAGACGCAGCAGGAATACCCCGCTTGCCACAAATCTTGAGTGTGGACACTCACCCTGTGGTTTGCTCCTTTTCTAGATGCCATATATGACTGCTCTTCCCTCTACCAGAAGAACTATCGCATCTCTGGAGTGTACAAGCTTCCTCCTGATGACTTCCTGGGCAGCCCTGAGCTGGAGGTGAGGTCATGATAGCCCACTGGCCCACATTTTACCGTCTGTCCTCCACCCTCTCAAAGGATCGTGACAACAGGGCTACTCAGTCTAAGGAAAGGGAAACTCAAAACAGAAGCAAACATACCAAATACTAGAGAGCTACATAAACATTCAAATGATGTGCCCCATCCCCCAACCCAATCCAGGCATCTGTCTGGCCTCTTCAAATCATTATCAACCGAACACCAGACCTTCTACTATAGATTAGATAACTCTCACAACCACCATATAACTACTTTAAATCTCTTACCATGTCCCAGAGCAGCTATTCTTTGGGAAGGAGAAAAGAGAGAACATGAAGGGGATATGTTAGAAGTGTCTGGATTTTCCCCTTCAAGCTATGTTTGAAGTCACGCCCAACCCCCATGTGGATCATTCTTCCTCAGCCAATTACTACCTGCCCAGCTCCCCATCACCAAGGCAGCATCTTTGCTGCAGTGAACCAGTGTGACTACGGGAGTGTGTACATCCGTTGGCTCTGTGGGGACAGAAAAAAGGTTGGGAAACCTGCCCTCATGCTCCCATGAGTCCCTGACCAGAGCATCCTCTCTGCTCCAGGTGTTCTGTGACATGGAGACATCAGGTGGAGGCTGGACCATCATTCAGAGAAGAAAGAGTGGCCTTGTCTCTTTCTATCGGGACTGGAAGCAGTACAAGCAGGGCTTTGGCAGCATCCGTGGGGACTTCTGGCTGGGGAATGAACACATCCACCGGCTCACCAGACAGCCTACCCGGCTACGTGTGGAAATGGAGGTGAGCATGAGGCCTGGGGCTCCAGGTCTGGCTGAAGGCTGCCACATAGAACTGTGCACAACACTGGGGGTACCATTCCTATTCTTATTTACTACAGATCTGTATATTTATTATGATGGTTTTCTTGCAGGTAGCAGTACAGTTGTAGAATGTTTTTTCTTATTTTTCACAAAGGTGGGACTGTGGGTGGCACAAGAGGAGGCCAGACCCAGGCCAGAGCACAGCAAATCCAATAGTCAGCTGGGCTGAAACACTGCTGTCTTTGCTCTGGCCTGGGGCATGAGGTTCTTTATGTGCAAACCTTATTATTGATTCTGGTTGGTGGCCCTCATTGAAGGTCTTGAAATACTCATAGATTCTCACATTACTCTTAAGACATCTCTGAGTGGAATTCAGCAAGAGCACATATCTGCACCTTATAGACAGGGAAGAGAAGGAATACTGCTTAGAGAGACTAATAAAGGCCTATGGTGAATCAGGAGAAAAGGATGACCTAGTCCCTTTGTTTTCTGACTCCCTAATAACTATGGTAAGTACAACAGGTAAATAACCAACAAAGTTTTACTAGATTCACAGCTACATAAAGATGTTTGGCTGTGGGGTTGGAGAGGGAGAAGAGGTACAGGGGAAGTATGAAATGAGGTTTCTCCAAGGCTCTGCTCCTCCCCAACAGGACTGGGAGGGCAACATGTACTATGCTGAGTACAGCAACTTTGTTCTGGGCAATGAACTGAACAGTTATCGCCTCTTCCTGGGAAACTACAGTGGGAATGTGGGGAACGACGCCCTCCTCTACCATAACAACACAGCCTTCAGCACCAAGGACAAGGACAATGACAACTGCTTGGACAAGTGTGCACAGCTCCGCAAAGGTGAGAGTTGGGAGGATGGGGAAGTAGAAGTTTGGGTATAAGCCTGTAATCCCACTTAAGGAGAGAGAGTGAACTTATAACTGTACAGTTGGTGTTCTGACCACAGTACCCTTTTTGATACTGGCTCTAACTGATTAACTACTGTTGAAGAAACATTACAGATCCCTGATGTCTAGTCTATCATCTATTTCCAAGGAGAGGACATAGCTTACAGCACTGACCTGTTTCTTGTGTCAGGTGGATACTGGTACAACTGCTGCACAGACTCCAACCTCAATGGTGTTTACTACCGCTTGGGAGAGCACAACAAGCACCTGGATGGCATCACCTGGTATGGCTGGCATGGATCTAGCTACTCTCTCAAACGGGTGGAGATGAAAATCCGCCCGGAAGATTTCAAGCCCTAAAAGGAGGCTGCTGTGGAGCAGGGCTGCAGAAATGGAGACAAATGGAGACTGGGCAAGGGCAGAGAAGGAGAGGAAGAGCATGTAGAAAGGGCAGGGGTGGGAAATAACCTATAATCTCCAATGAGAGAGTGAGACTCTAAGGAGCACAATAAAATTATATGTACCAAGGATGTTACAATAAATGGGATGAAGTACACAATGGGTCTTGCCACATACTTCTCAGGGGGCTGGACTGAGTGGGCTCTGTCTGCCCATGATCCCTTACATAGCAGCAGCTTGTCTTTTCCACATGATTTTTCTGTGAAAAATAATTGTGAGATAACTTTACCCATAATTCTCTAAGGCCTAGGTTAGGTGAGGGCATAAAACAAATCCCTTTGCTAAAAAGAACAATATTATTTTGATTCTCGAAGAAGGGGCCTTGACTGTTAGAGAAAGGAGTGAAAAAGGGCAGTGGAGGAGGGGAGTTTCTATTTTTAAACATGATGAAATTACATTCAGTCTACACATTTTTTTTTTCTTTTAAAGATGGATGACCAGTAAGGGGATCTTAACCCTTGACTTGGTGTTGTCAGCATCACATTCTCCAGAGTGAGCCACAGGCCGGCCCTAGTCTACACATTTTTTAAAAATACAAAAATTGTTTCGCTGGAGATGGGCTGGCCCAGGTTGGACTTGCTTGGAGGGAAACTCCAGAGCACTGGGCCTTTCAATCAGACTCTTAACACCTCCCCTGCTCGCCTTGATCACAGTATAACATTGAAAGGCATGAAATGGGGCTGGTGGTGGCAGGGAGCACCAGTGGGAGGTGGGTATAGTCCCTCATGGAAGCTGCACAAAACTGCCTACAAATATTCATAGTCAATACAGATACATCTATTTTTATTTACTTTGTAAGAAATGGGCTCAGGAGCTTCCTTTTTGTCATTAAAAAAATGGCTGAAAAAATGAAAGTAGATGGCACTATGGTTAATAATTCATGCTGTATGTAAGCATCTTGCTTTGTAAGAAATAAAATATTGTAGTTTGGGTTTTAAACATTCAAAGTTTCTTTTCCTTCTACAATAAACATTTTAAAACATGTGCTTTTCTTTTTAAATTCTTACCATTACCACGTAGAGCACAGTAAAATGTTTAAGTAAAAAAATCAGAGGGTGAGAATTGAGAATGAGACTCTGTGCCTGTTTCAGTATTAAGGAAACCAAGGGAGGAAGAGCAGGAAGCCAAAAAAGAAAAGGTAAAGGACAAAAAGGCCAGCAGCCACTGGGAAGAGATCAGAGCCTGGACCACTTAACTAATTCCCACAGAAGCCACTACAACTACTTGGTTTCAAAATTTTGCAAACACACACTCCTACTCTTAGCTTAACCATTTGGAAAGGAAAAATATCTTCAACCATAATGGGTATCAAGTAATCTTGACCTTTAGGAAGTCATTTTTTCCTTTCCTGAGTCAGGCAGTGTAAGGTAAGCTATTATACAGTACTTAATATTTTCTACTATACCTTAAGCCCTTTAATTGTTGGGAATCTACTTTACCTTAAAAACAAGAACCTTGGGGATTTTCAATGAAATAAAATGAGTAGAGAAAAACTACATTGGAGTAGGGCTTCTCATGGGACAGATATTCAAATAGAAACTTCCTCAGGCAGGCAGAAGAATCCGCGATGCTTAGCACCATACTGCTAGGAAAAAGGATAAAAAAAATCAGGGGCTTAAAAGGAGCAAAGAAAGCAAGAACGCTGTGGCAGAAGTAGCTAATAATTATCTCTCTCATCTCCTATATACCCCACAACTAAGGAAACCCTGAGGATTTTAATTTTAAATCAGCCTCTGTGGTTTCCTTCACCTTTTCGGCAGAAACTTCTCAGAGAGAGGGGCAGATGGAAAAGAGCAGATGGCAAAGAATGTACAGAACACCCCAACCATTTCATCTGCATTGGTGCCGATTCCAACAGTCTCTACATTTCTAAAGCACCTGTTCTGGTACAGGTTGATGGTGGATACTGAGGATTCAGAGATGACAGTACAACATGGTCTCTGAACCTGAAAGAGGACAGAACCACTAGGAACCAAAAAGAGAGCTCACTGTTACTCCTGAGGGTAAAGAACGTTTTGCTCTGACCAGATCCTTTAAGATATGTGAGAGAAGGAGGCACAAAAAAGAAGAGCTCTGTGCAGAAAAAAAGGACATATTCAGCTTGACGGGCAGTTGTTAGTGCTGCATGTCCACCTACTGAGCACTGGTCCTGTTCTGATTTTTAGTTTTGCATATGTCTAAATCAGAAAAATTTTTATAAAGGGTGTTACCCGTCAAGGGCTGGACAGTGAAGGCATCTAGCGTTTTTTTTTTTTTTTTTTTTTTTTTTTTTTTTTTTTTTTTTTTTTTTTTTTTTTTTTTTTTTTTTTTTTTTTTTTGGGCGGCTGGCTGGTATGGGGATCTGAACCCTTGACCTTGGTGTTATCAGCACCACGCTCTCCCAGGTGAGCCACTGGCCAGCCCCCGGAAAGCATCTGGCTTTGACCAGACATACTACTTAGGGCAGAAGAGCAAAAGCCAGCAGACATTACCTTAATGCTCTGGGCTAACCAAGTGAAAGCCCTGCAGTTTCACGTATTGTGTTTCCTAATAATCAAATACCCACTTAATGTTCTGTTCCCCTAAGATGGAATTATACTAACTGATATATCTGTGCTTTAAGGATATGGAAATATACTATTTCAGTGTTAGCTCTGGTTTGGGGATCACATGTGGGATGTAATTTGTCGTGGAGCAGATAGGTAAAAAAATCAACAGGTAAGAAGACAGATTGAATCAGCAGCAAGAGAACAATATTATCAGCAGAGCACAGTTTTTAAAATTAAAAACAAAAAATAAGAAACAGCTGCACAAAAATGTTTTTGTGTAGGTTACCCTGATTGTTTCAAAAAGAATCTAAGGCAATTGACTCAAATGTATATATTACAATAGCCCTAAAAAAGTGGACAAATTGGTGAAGGGAAAGTAAGAGTAGGAAAAATAAAGTGGGGTATATGTGTTTGTGTGTTAGTAGTCAAAACAGGTAAGATGTCTGTAATTTGTTGGGGGTAGGGGCAGGAATTTAGCTGTAAGCTGTTCAGTAGACACTGTGAGGATGGAAATTCAATCTACTACTGAAGAGCTATGTCCCCAAGACCAGACCAAAGTAATGACTCAGGGATGTACAAGCACCAGTGGTATGACCCCTGGGAAGGGTCACATGTGGCTCACCCAGGGAACTGAGGGGAGTGCTGTGAGCAACTTCCTTAACAGCAGCTCTGCCTAAGGTTGTTTCTTAAAACTCTCCCCAGTCAAGATGAAGGCATAACACCATAATAGGGCTTAGGAAAAGCAGTTTTACAAAATCAGAAGTAAAAGTTGCAAACCAAAAAGAAAGATATTGGAATGATATGGGAGACCAGCTGAAATGGGGCAAAACTGTAAGCAGAGCTGACTCGGCCAAATACACCTGAACAGCTGAGAGCACTGGCTTTCCCTTGAAACAGAGATTTTTTTTTTTTTAAAGCCAAGATCAATCTGCAGGGAACTCTGAGGACTTATTTTCAATTATATGACTTAAGAAGCTAAATGACCTTCTTGAGCACTTTTCCAGGTCTCTGACTGTATCTCTCTATTATAAATCTGCATTAACTTTAATGCATCTATGATGGTCTCAAATACGGGGAAAAATCAAGGGTGAGGTGAGGGAGGTTTAGATAGATCTCAAATAGAAAAAGGTTAGCAAGAAAATTAATGTGCAAAACTAGTTATTTGACGCTGAAGTTATATTCAGTTACCAGATTTTCTGTTAGTTATCATGTAAGACTGCATTACCTAAGCCAGAGATGAGAGGAAGAAATGTGGGCTTTCACATTTGCTGTGCCTAATTTGAAATGTCTTCTAGGATGGCATGTTTAAATTGTTCCTATATGGTATTTTGTTTTATTTATTTTTTAAAAAGATGACCAGTAAGGGGATCTTAACCCTTGACTTGGTGTTGTCAGCACCACATTCTCCCAAGTGAGCTAACCAGCCATCACTATACAGGGATCCGAACCCACGGCCTTGGTGTTATCAGTACCACACTCTCCCAAGTGAGCCATGGGCCAGCCCTCCTATATGGTATTTAAAAAATCAACATTGTCTCAAATTCCAATTTATTTGGGCAGAATATGATTCTATTTCTGCCTTTTGGGTCACTTTTTAATGTGTTTAAAGAAGAAATTTCATGTGTTTAAAGCAGAATTTTTTTTAGCTGAGCTAAAAGACAACCTGGCTATTTGATTATCCTCTCAAATGAAGGAAGCACTGTACACAGCATACTCTATCAGCCACAATGGAGGAACTTACTAGTGGGGTGATTTTGCCTAAATAATCTTCAGTGAAATGATCAACCATGTTAGCATTTATATAAGATAATTAGATCCAGGAGTTAATATTCTCTGAAAATCATTAGGGGAAGTGGACAGTTCTCTAGGAGCTGAAGCTAATATTTTGGGCTGTTTGTAATTTAATAATAGCAGAAAATTTATTAAACAACCTATTTCTGCCATTCCCAGAAGACTTAAAACCATCTTATGAGAGGACAGAACTTAACCAAATCAGGGGAAAAGACCACTGATCTCAGACTTCAGTCTGCCTCTTACAATCATAGAACTCCAAAGGAGGAGGACTCAGGCACCAATAGATTTAGTCAGTAAAATCCCACCCCGCTTTTGGGTGGCCTTTAAAGCCCAGGAACCAGTACATCCTACTCTTGCCTTACAGAGTGATATCTAACCCAGACACAAAAACATCTATCTTTCCTAGGCTGCTATGGCCATAGAATTGCTTCTAGACTGATTTTCCTGGACGAGAAAGCACAGGTTAGAAAATGAGAGGAACCCAGATGATAAGGGTCAACAGAAATGACAATTTCCTCAAACTACCAGAGAGAGCCATCTGCAACCACATGTCATTTAAACATGCTGACCAGATTTCAAAGAGCAGAAGTCTCCAAGTGAAGTGGCACCAGGCAGTTGCAGAAGAGAGGTTATTTTGAATGAAGCAGCAATTAAAAAGGGTTTATTGCCTACCTGATGAGAGACTCTAGAATGGCGGGGGTGGGACCTTTCTGGAACTCCAGTTCTTTGTAGTGTAGTGCTTTGGCATATGCTCGGCATTTGGCAGCTCTCTCACCCAGTAGAACAATGCCATTGTCATCTCTCAGTGGCAGGGGGCCCTAGAGGAGAGCAAAACCCCACAGCATAGAAAATTGACAGATGGGCACTAATAAGAGAGGGCTGGATGGATGCTTCTCCCCTCCCACCAGCTGGTTCCCTGCCAGCCTCCATCTGGATAACCGGGAAAAGTTTCACCTTGTCACTGTGCTCCATGAATTCAGCCAAGTTTAAGAGGGTTTGCGTGACTTCCGCGATGTCTTGTGAGGTGAGGGCCAACTCGATGCTTCTGATGAGCTCATCCTGCTGGTCTTCATTCAGTTCAGACCAGCAAGAAACAAATGCAGCATTGAAGAGATCCCTGAGGAGAGTGGAGAAAGATGCTGGAAACCTCTCATGCCTCTGCCTGGTGCCACAAAGTTACACCTGTCAATCTGCTCCTGGCGTCACTGATTTTGGTTCTACAGACCAGTGCTATCCAATAGAACTTTATGGAAATGGTCTATATTGTTCCTGTCCAATATGGTAGCCATTGGTCATTAAGCACTTGAATTGTGGTAAGTGACTGAGGAACTGAATTTTAGATTTTATTTAATGTTAATTAAATTAAAATAACCACACATGGCTAGTGACTACTGTAACTTACAGTACAGGTATAGACACTGTGATATACAGGGGATTGGGAGAGGGAGGGAATGGAAAAGAGCAGAGCAAAGTAACTTGTCTCCACAGGCATATTTCCTGGCAGTTTTTGCATCATTTCTCTTCACCGGAGGGGATGAACAGAAAGGAGACTTCTAACACTGAAGCTGGTATTAACAGATTCAGAAAATAATAATCTTCAAATGATTCTTAAGATCTTTCTTGGGCAGTGTCCAAATTCTGAAGAACAGAAATGGCAAGGGCAGCATTTCCTATTGCCTTCCAAATATAACCAGAATCCTTAGTTAGATGGTCATTAAAAAATGACAACAGAACTTAAGAAACTAGAAGCATTAGCAAATAGAATCTAAGTCCAGAAGTCTTGAAAGATTCTCTAAGCCAATCTCTAACAGCTGGGGCCTTACAAAGGCCTGGAACCAGATGTGCCATTTCTAAGATTACTACAACTACTTTAAATCATTACAGCATCACATGGATGGACATATTTGTCACCCCTGACATCTAACTTTGATCCTATCCCTCCCTTTTTTGGTGAATGTGGGGTAAGGGGAGTTGGAAACTATAAGATATGCCTGTAATGGATGGGTTTAGCAACAGATGCCTCTGTATCTACTTTTTATTACATATTAAAAGGTGAAGTTAGATCAATGTGTATAATTTTGGAATCTGACAGAGAAAAGAAAATATGAAATTCAAAGGATAACATAAAGACCAAAAGAAGTCCTGTGTAAATTAAGAAACAACCTTTCCTGATCTAGGTCAGAGGTTATATGGGATCCCAAATAAACATATTTGGGACTAAGGGGATAAATACATATGTGTATATTTACCACAAGCCTCCTTTTTTTTTTTTTTTTTAAAGATGACCGGTAAGGGGATCTTAACCCTTGACTTGGTGTGGTCAGCACCACGCTCACCCAGTGAGCCAACCGGCCATCCCTATATAGGATCCGAACCCATGGCCTTGGTGTTATCAGCACCACACTCTCCCGAGTGAGCCACAGGCCGGTCCCCACAAGCCTCTTTTAAATGACACTGTGCTCAGAGGTGACTTGTGCAAAAGAGAAGTATAGAACATCAGCTGAGCATATGAAACCTGTACACTATGGAAATAGGGAAGTTCTAGAAACTATTTTGAAAGTCTTAAAATAAAACTTGAAAGAAATTAGAGGAACCAAATCATGGTATCAAAGCAATAATCTCAGGGACCATCAGAACTCCTGCTAAATACACATCATAACAGCAAACCTGCTGTGTTAATAAAAGTGAAATGAAATGCCTTGCTTTTTGTTTCTTGCTAATAAGAAGGGTTGTTGATTAAATCACCATTTTATGTCTCATTATGAATAATAAATTCCCCTGTAGAAAAATCTGGAAAATAGAGAAAAGAATAAAAAGGAAGAAAATCATTTCTTAAACCTTCCTACTTAGAGATAACCATTGCCGGACTACTTTCTAATATTTATTCTATGTACACATATTTTTAATAGTTGAAATCAAACATGCCATTTTACATTCCATTTTATTAAATTATGTTATACTATAAATTTTTCATAAGCATTAAAAATTTTTATAAACCGTATTTTATTTTACTGTATTTATTTATTTTTTGGTAGCTGGCCAACATGGGGAACTGAACCCTTGACCTTGGTGTTATGAGGCTGAGTTCTAACCAACTGAGCTAACTGGCTAGCTGTAAACCAAATTTTAAATGGCTATTTAAGATTTACTATTTAAAATTATATTGTTTATGGCAAATTCTATTTCCAAAGATGGCTCCGACAGTATCTCCCGTTTCATATGCTCTCGAAAAATCTTGCTGCTCCTCTATCAAGAGGGAGCATCCATGTCTCCTTCCCTGAGTGGCCGTTTATGACTGCCTTGAGCAACAGAGTAAGGCAGAAGTAACACTATGTACTTCCCCAGCTAGATCATAAAAATACATGTCCTTCCATGTTGTTCTCTTGGGGCACTCACTCTTGAACCCAGCAACCTTCTGTGAAAAAGCCCAAGCAACCTATGGGAGTGGTCCACATGGATAGGAACCAAGGCCCCCAGCCACAGCTGAGTTCCCACTGGATAGTCAGCCCCAACTTGCCAGACATGCCAGCGAGCCATCTTGAAAGTGGATCCTCTACTGAAACCACCCCCTCTGACACCATGTGGAGCAGAGGAAAGTTTCCCCACAAGTTCTCCCAAACTTCAGATTCATGAGCAAAATAAATGACTGTTGTTTTAGATCACCAAGTTTTGCATTATTTGTAATGCAGAATAAATAATTAGAATATTATTAATATTGGAAACAGGTTACATTCAATTATTACTTAGTTGTTTTCAGAGTTGTAAATAACTTTGTTATTAAAATTTTGGACCTAAATCTACTAAGGAAAGGTATTTATCTGTGGTCTACTAGCAAGGTTAAGATGGCTGCTCTTCCTATAATATGAGCATGTTCAATTTGCCTTTTTCTTTCTTTTTGTCCACAAGTTCGCAAAATTAAAAATATTAGCCATTTTACTACTACTTCTAATAAAAATTAACTCGTATATGTTATTTTCTATGTGCTGATCCTCTCCATCCCAGTCTGAAGCTCTAACACATTATACCTGGCCATCGGGTTGTAGGCCTGTGCCAGGGCCCAGCATGAACGCAGGGAGGGTGACGAGGAGTCCTTCAGCAACTCCAGGCTCAGCCGTCTCAGCCATTCCAGCCAGTCATCTTTGGAGACCCTCCTGGCAGCTCCCCAGGCCTGCCAGGTGCCAACAGAAAACCATCAGCTTCAAGGGCCAATTGTAAAGAGCACTCATCTGTTTAATAATTGTTCTACTTCTTTGATTTATAAAATTATACCTCTCATGATAAAATTCCTCCTGGGCACAAATACAAAAGAGTAATATTTAATTTGAAGCCATAAAGCAAAAGCAGCAACCTCTGGAACATACCTCAATATAGAAAAAGCCTGTTTTACAACTTGTTTGTGTTGGACTCTGACCATCAGCAAAGCAGAGAGCTCTACAGAACCAGAATGGATGGGGAATGTCACACTCAGAGAGCACTCAACAAAACCTAATGGCCTCTAGTAGTGCGTGAAGGGAGCTGGGTACTCTCTGTGTATTAGGACACTGGCTCTTCTGACAATGAAGAGTCACACAGGAAGAAGAAAAATGCTCAGGTTCACACCATCAGGAATCATGTTACAACCATGTGAGCAGTGAGCCCAAGCACATGGCACTAGGAAAGAACAAGAAAAAAGGAGTTTGAACAGATTTGATTTCTTCTCTCTAATTTATCCCTCCAACTGCCCTCAAAACTCTGAACTCTCCAGGCATCAAGAGTTACTACCAGGGACAGCTTAGGTGGATGGATAGAAAGACTCGAGTTCTGGAGAGAGGCAGTATATTGTAGTAGTGGCCAACAGCCATACCCTGGAGCTCAATGGCTTGAGTGCAAATCCCAGTTATATAACTTATTGGCTCTCTGATCTTCAGGAAGTCACTTAACTCCTCTATCTCGGTTTTCTCATCTGTAAAGTGAGAGTGACGGTTTCTGCTTTATAGTATGTTTTAAGGATTAAGTAAATTAATAAATATAACGAATTTATAACAGTGCTTGGCACAAAGTTAGTGCTGTGTACATGAGTGCCTATTTCTCTGAAGTTAGAAACACCTGGCTGGGATCCTGGCTCTGCCACTCAACGCTGTAAAACCCTAAGCAAATTACTTGTATATGTTGCATCTGAGCCTCCGACTTCCTCATCTAGAAATAATGTATCTAAAGGGCCTAGCTGGAGTGAGCAAAAAATGGGTGCAATTATTATCAAAATGACATTTCTTTAAACTGGCCTAGCCCTAATTACTAAATTCTTAATTTAAAAAATACGTTATTAAAAGATTTTTCCAGGGTTGGCCGGTTAACTCAGTGGGTTAGAGTGTAGTGCTGATCACACCAAGTCCAAGGTTTGATCCCTGTAATGGTCAGCTGCCAAAAAAAAAAAAAAAAAAAAAAAAAAAAGATCTTCCCAGCTGACCAGACATATCAATTCTCTCTAAACAGGGGAAATCATGTAAGTTAAAGCAAAAGTTCTCAAACTTTGGACTAGTGAAGTGGTCCAGGGAATAAAAGGACCTTCATGTGCTATACCACCTAATCATCATCGACTCAACCATCACCTCCCTGGGATAAACTGGAGATTTGCTGCTAATTCTGAAAAGCTGCCAATGAGGGACATTACATAAACTATTATTTTATATCAGGAACCAAAGCAGAGATACAGCAAGAGAGGAACTAAATAATTATCACTGACCATACAATGAGAACCTGAAGGAGAAGGAAGAGTGAGACTTGATTTTTAGACCCTGTTCTGTTCCATTTCACCCAACAGTGTTTCGTATCTAGTCTCACTTTTCCTTCTCCTTCAGGTTCCCATTGTATGGTCAGTGATAATTATTTAGTTCCTTTCTTGTTGTATCTCTACTTTGGCTCCTGACATAAAATAATAGTTTATGTAATGTCACTCATTACCAAGTTTATGTAATGTCACTCATCACCAAGTCCTTTTCTGTCCATAGATTTCTGGCTTCTTACCCACACAATGGGTCTGTGCATAGCTTCACTGTATTACATAGTACTTTAAAAGTTGGACATAGGGCTGGCCTGTGGCTCACTCGGGAGAGTGCAGTGCAGCTAACACCAAGGCCACGGGTTTGGATCCTTAAAAAAAAAAAAAAAAGTTGGACATAAACAAGGAAGTATTACTAATTTCTTTCTCCCTCTAATTATGTGAGGTTGAGTCTGGATAAGGCAGCAATAATTTAACACAGTGGTTAAGAGAGTGGACTCTAGAGTCATACTACCTAGTCTAAATCCTGGCTCCACCATTTACTAGTAGACACTGAGCAAATTATTTAACCTTTCAGTGCTTCAAGGTCCACATCTATAATATGGGGACAGCAATGACAGCACTCATAGGATTATTGTGATGATTAACTGAGTTAATATACATAAAGTGCTCATAACACTGGTACGTGGAAAGCACTCAACAAATGTTAGTTGTTGTTGACATCAATTATTACTATTTAATAAATGGCAGTAAATAGGTCTTCAGAAATATCATAGATTAATGGACAACTGCACAATCTATCAAACAGGCCAAACCCCCCACATGGTCCTTTCCCCCATGCTCTTTAAAACAAACTTCCTTAGCCAGCTGCCAAAAGCAAAAACAAAAAACAAAGCCATAATCACCTCCCAATTCTCTGGGTTCTGCAATAACTGTATAAAAATAGACCAGTGTCCTTTTGCTAACCACCCTCTAATGACTGCTTCATCTGGTGACACCAGTGCATGTTCACGAAATGCCAGCTTATTTACTGTGAAGGTAAGACCAAATGGATTGTCATAAGATAGTAAAGCTCCTGAAAATTCTGGAAAGCTCTCTAGAGGTATATGAGGATACTTCAAAAAGTTCGTGGGGGACTGGCCTATTAGCTCACTTGGTTACAGTGTGGTGCTTGATAACACCAAGGTCAAGGGTTCAGATCCCTGTACTGGCCAGTTGCCAAAAAGAAAAAAAAAAAAAAAATTGTGGAGAAACAGAATTAAAAGATAATATGAATCTTTCCATGAACTTTTTGAAGTACCCTTGTATATAAATGGTTTTTATGTTTTCTGTCCCATGTAAATCCTCTATTAGCACAGTCAATAGAACAGTGACTGAGGTGGCAAATTGTTATTTTGAAAGCTCATTAAAACTGAGAAATAGACCAATTCCTAATTATCATTACATGATTATGTGGAAGAACAATTCACTTTTTGATGAAATGAATCCAAAAATCAGCTATAGAGGATTTTGCTTACGTTTTTAAAAACTGATCTATTCTTTCAGGTGATTTTTCCCAGTCCTGGGTAGAAAGAAAAACCTCCCGGAAGCAAATTGGACTACTGGGGAATTTGCTAAAATAGAGAGAACAAAGCTCTAAAGCAGGGTGGACAGCTGCCTGGTTGGAAGGACATTCTGAACCTAGACATGCTGAAAACATCTGGGTGGAAATGTGCACCTGGCCTCCTTGCCTGCTCCTTTTCTCAAGTGTGAGTTGTCAGCAGGGTGGTCTCAATAACTGCCTGGGAATGCCAGGTGACTGATGACCTTTCTCTTCTTCCTGAAGTCAGACTAGCAGTTACAAAATCCCCAGAGGGAAAGCAGAATCAATCCTGACCCAGGGATATTTTACCACGTTTATCTAAAATCAGCAAGTATTTCTTAACAGTGGTCCATGCGGGTAAAGACTCTAACACAATAGTTAGTATTTTGAAGCTGGGTTTGAGCACACACATTCACACACACAGAACTATATTCAAATCTGTATGAGCAGGTCAGCTGGGACAGACCCACCAAGTTCTTTACCTCTATCTGCTGCTACACATGAAGTGTAGCTGCTGTGGGTCAACTGCTAATAAATGAAGAATAACACCATGTTGAAATCCAAATTGGGAGCTGCTTATAGTCACCAGAAGCACCAAAGACTAATGTCAAATGGTGGAAAATATTTATTTAAAAGTTAATGAAGTAACTATGATTATTCTGCTCAGATTCACTAGTGATGTTTTGAAACTGCCTGTTTTTAGGGGGATGGTGCCATGAGCCATCCTGCTATAGGGAATGGCATGGGAGCCTGAGGAGTGATACCCCTTGTTCAGCAGGCTGCAGAGGGTCTCTATGTGCGGCACAGCTCCTTGGAGATTTCCTGTTTGTTTCACCTTTACTTGACAAGGCTTTTCAGAATTAAAAGCCTAACTTTTTGGCTTAGTGTGGCTTTGGGGGATTCCAAGGGCCTTGGAATTTCTCAAAGCCATACTAGCATGTCCTTCGGAAGATTCCAAGGGCCCTGGGGTTTCTCAAAGGACATGTTAAAAATACATCAAAATTAATTGGCTTATTTAGAAGGCATTGTCCGTACTAGAGGTGTTTTTGATGTATGTTCCTGGTATGGGTTGGCTTGATTTAATTTTGTTATTGATCTTTCCTATTAGTAATGTATGCATTGACCCATTGTGGCTGTGGTCATGCTCTTGTACGTGTGGAATGAAGTTGTTATGTTGGAATTTTATCCATGTTCCCCAGGGAGTCGGTGGGTCCAAGTGCAGTGGTGTTTACAACTAATTGATCACAACTAGTTACAGATTTTTTTGTTTCTTCCCCATTCCCAGTTTCACTTGATTTACCAAGAACATGTTGTTTCCTTAGTAATAATAAGAATGATATAGTGTGTTTTTGTTAGCTTGAGTAGGATCATTTAATTTTTCACTTTGTTCCTTGTACTGTTCCCAGAGTCAATTGGCAAGGAAACAGAAAATTTTGTTATAGAGATGGATAGGTAAAATAGTAGAGATATACAAAGAGGTTTTGATATTAACAGATTTTGTTTAGATTAGTTTAAAGTGTAATTGTTTTTAATAGTAGTACAAAATATAATAGGACATTATAGTTAAGTTTTATTATAAAAAATCATGTTATAGACATTGTTTTGGTTAAGAATTAGAATAATTAATATAAAACATAAAACATTAAATTGTTAAATATAAGTAAGCTTTAATAGAAGTTTAGAATATAAGTTTATGTGTAAGTTTAAAAGGTTAGGACTTATGATTCAAACCAAAAGTCTGACGTCTTTAAGCCAAGCATTCTGCTATTGTATGGTTTCCTGGCCACAAGCCACAGGCTTCGGGGTGAACTAATGATGAGTAGATATTTTTGTCACAGCGTGAGTGCTTTAGAACATTTTGACCTTTCTTTTTCAATAGAAACAAAATAAAAATGTTTTGATTAAAAGATAAACATCATGTCGGGCCGGCCCGGTGGCGCACTGGATAGTGCGCCGCTTGGGAAGCGCGGCGGTGCTCCCGCCCGAGGGTTCGGATCCCACATACAGACCGGTTCCCGCTCACTGGCTGAGCGAGGCGCGGGAGCAACGCCGAGGGTTGCGATCCCGTTGCCGGTCCCGGTCCGGTACGGGGGCGACACTGAGGGTTGCGATCCGTTGCCGGCCACGGAAAAAGACAAAAAAAAAAAAAAAAAGATAAACATCATGTAAAAAATTAAGTAAAAAAATATAAATAAAGCAAGATTCATGTGGTTGTCCACACTTGCACTAGACATCTGTGGCTCGCCTTTCTCTTTTTTCTTCGCTGACACCACACCACCTATTCAGGTCCAACGAATCCTGCAGAGCTGGTCTCTGGCAGGATGGCTTGTGGCAAACACAGTGAAAAGCTGGTCATGTCTCAGGCTTTGGTCAGCAGAAATAATTCAGTACTTACTTACAAAGATCTAAAACCTCACTACTCGAAATGTGGTCCATGAACCAGTCGCATCACATTACCTTGGAGCTTGTCAGAAATGTAGAACATCAGGCTCAACTCAGAGCGCCTACATCAGAATAAGCATTTTAACAAGACTCCAATTGGCAAGCTCAATGAATCTGAAGTTGGAAAAGCACTGCTTTAAAGAGCCTGCATCAGTCTCAGTGCTAACTAGGATATTTACCAGCTTTGTTCCACTCACATAGAAGTAAGAATGTTATCTGCAAAAGGTTCTACTATAAAAGTTCCAAGGGAGCACAAAAGGACACTTTGCTCTCTGTCTCTCCTCTATTACAAAAAAATAAAATCACAATTCAGACACCTGGAAAAAGCCAAAATGACTTAAGTTCACAGTTATCTAGATTTTTGGAAAAACATTTGAGCTGGTTTTTGGTTGGTTTAAACTGAAGGCAGAAAGAACTGAAAGTTTTGAACAAGAGAGAAGAGCAGAGCTCTCCTTTCAGGTCCCCCAGAAACAATGAAACCTGCCTTTTGGAGGTTGATGGTGCTGACGTGCAATTTCTTCATGGGTCCCGTTTCTACTGGTCCACTAGCCAATGCGTCCCCTTGGCCACTCCTCAGCATTCGATGCTGGTAAATCAAAGGGTCCTCCTCTTCATCAGCAAGGGTGTATCCCTGCAAGTAGAAATTTATAGAAAACACCTGCGACTCCACTAGACACTCCCAGTTTAGAAAACATCCTTAAATCTCCCAAGGTTCAGATCTTCTGGAAGAGCCAGAATTTCAACAAGAAGTAAAAAGAAGTAAAAAGATGCATGTACAGAACGAACTATAGGTGGGCTGAATCCCCCACCGTACACCAGTCTTTGCTGGTCACTCCTGTTCACTGACAAGCACTGGCTTAATAGTACAAGCATGTAACCATGCAGCTGGCAAAGATGAGACAACTGTAAGCAAAGATAAAAGTGATGAAGTGTTTAGAGCAAAGGGCAAATAGCCTGCCACCTGTTTTTGTATGGCTCGAGTGCTAAGAAAGATTTTACAATTTTAAACGGTTGAAAAATAAAAACCCAAAGATCACTATTTTGCAACACATGAAGATTATGAGAGAATCAAATTTTGTTGTCCATAAATAAAGTTTTACTGGAATGCAGCTAGGTTCATTCATTTATGTACTGCATCTGGCTGCCTTCAGGCTGCAGTGGCAGAGCAGAGCAGTTGCCACCAAAGACCACATACCCTACAAAGCTGAAGAAACTTACTATCTTTACAGAAAAAGTTTGCCAATCCCTAGTTTAGAGCTAAAAAGCTAGTTATACTCCCACAGATAAGGTTACAAGAATACCAAATAGGAGAGACAAAACTTTCAAAACAGTATGTATAGTTCACCTTGACAATTCTGCAGATGAGCACATCATAGCGCTGATGGTTGATTCGGTGTCGCACCAAAACTTTATTCACCATTGGAATGAAAATTTGGTACTATAATAGGAGAGGGAAAAAGTCAGCAACCATTACTTTGGAGAATGTAAAAAAGTAGAGGAAAAAGTGTCATCACAACTACATACATTACAGCTATTTCTTCTGAGTTTTTGGCTAGCTCTGTGGTATTCGGAAGAATCCCATTTTACCATCACTGCTATAATCCTAGTCCAAGTTCCCATCCTCTCCATCTGGCTACTGCAGCAGTCTCTCAATAAGTCTCTATTTCCACCCTTGCCCCCACAGCCTACTTTTCCACACAGAATTGAGAGTGATCATCTTAAAATATTAAGTCATTAAAAAAAAAAAGGGCTGGTTGGTTAGCTTAGTTGGTTACAGCATGGTGTTACAACACCAAGGTTAAGGGTTCAGATCCCTGTACCAGCCAGACACCAAAACAAAAAAAACAAACAAACAAACAAAAAATTAAGTCAGATTATATTTTTCCTGTGCTCAAAATCTTCCAAAGACTTCCAGTCTTGCTCAGAGTAAAAGCCAGAATACTTACAATGGCCCACAACAGTGATTTGCAAATTTTAATGGGCATCAGAATCACCCAGAGGGCTTATGAAACTAGAGATTGCTGGGCTCCACAGCCAGAATTTCTGATTCAGTAGGTCTAAAGTGAGGCCTGAAAATGTGCACTTCCAGTAAGTTGCCAGGTATGATGATACTGATAGCTTGTCCAAGGATCACATTTTGAGAGCCACTGGCCTACAAGATCTAGTCTCTACCTGCCCCCCGCCCCCGCCTTATAATTCCAAGCACTTTCCCTTTGCTTGCTCCTCTGAAATCACACTGCTCTCCTGCCATGCCTTGACCTCTTCAAGCAAGCTGCCATCTCAGCCTTCACATTTGCTACTCCTTTTGCCTGCACCCACTCTGGGATTAGGCCTGTTACATTTACGTCTCTGCCCAAATGTCAACCGGCCAGAGAAGTCTTGCCTGTTGGTCCTAAATAAACAGCATTTCTCCCCACTTCCACCCATCGCTCTCATGAGACAAATTATGTTTATTTGCTTTGCTTCACTGGAATGTGAGCTCTATGAGAGCAGGGACTTTATTCTGTTTACTATGTTATCCCAGAACAGCACTTAGCTCACACAGGTGGCTCAATAAATATGTGATGATGAACAAATGAAGAAAAAAAGCACAAATAATTCCATGTTCTCTGATGGTAGTTGAGACCTATAGACTAACAAACGGAGAAGTTCAAAGACAAAGTCTTCTTCCGAAATAAGGCAGAAAAGCACCTGTTTGTTCAGGACCCCTGTCATACCTTCTTCCCCAGTTGAAAGACAAGTGAAGACAATGTGTCCATGGCTGTGGAACGCAGTTCTGGGCTCTGGTCCAGGGTTCGAACAATAGGGTGAATGATCCGGGAGGCATAGTCAGTGAAATCCAGGGATTCAGTCAGGCGATCCACTGTCTCTAATGCAGCCCTGCAACAATCACTGACATAGAGTAACTGCCAACATACAATCTCAAAGTAAGAGAAGTGGCTGAGGGTTACTTCAACAATCAGCATGGAAGGAATGGGAAAGAATGGCCTTTGAGGTATTTTGGGTGACATGGATCCAACATATATTTCAGTGGAATGGGACAGTTAAGATTCAGATAAACCTGGGACATTACTGGACTAAAATAATGGAAGTTGAAATAAAAAATAGAAAGATGGCTTGGGAACTTACAAGGACATCTTCAACAAAACATTAAAAGCTTAATGATTGTTAGTCCCAAAGGGCAGGTGCTTACTTTCGAGACGGCAGTGGAACTTCAGGGGCATCAAATAGCTTCACAATAGGAGGCAACAACAAATGGAGATAGTCATCCAGGTTGGCACCAAACAGCTGGATTGCAGCCAGCAACTGCAAAAGGGAGCAAAAGCACAGAGATGAGCAAATACAGTCAGGTATTAAGCATCTCAGGACATGGAAGGGGCAGTGGTATGGATAATTCAAAGTTCCTTGGGGACTCTGAAAAGCCTTTATTAAGTGGCTTTGAACTATATTCCTTTGGTAACACTTTCTTCCCCCTCATTTTATTTGCTTACATAATACCTTGCTTTCTCTGTGCTTATTTCATTTGATAAGGAGTCAGTTGCTGGATAACAGAGAAAATTGGTCTGGGATAAAACACTGACCAAGATTAATATATTAAAGAACACAAAACATAAGGATAATCAAGAGAGGATTATAAACATTCTGGAAACTATAAATTGCAAGCATCTTGGGATTCGGTCTTGTGGGGCAGTCATCAACCTCTCACTCAGATCGGGGTCTCACCATTTGGATGAACATCCAGGGACTGTGAGAGATGGAGGAAATCTCTAGAGGATACCTCAGGCTACTCACCTTGATAGAGACAATGCGGCCTGGGCTGTTGTCATGCATGAAGACACGCAGCATGTGTGGAATCAGTTGGGGCAGGTAGAGCTTAAATTCACCCCCAAGAGCTACCACAATTTGCTCAATAAGAAGAATGATCGTGCTTTGGATTGATGTGTTCATGACCCAGAATTCCTGCAAAGAAGGAAGAGAAAAAGGAGCGAAGTCAGGTGCCCTTCTGCTGAACTATGAAGCAAGGAACTGAGAGGGTCAGAAAGAAGCAAAAATGTAGTAAGCATGGTCTGCCCCAAGATGAACTCCTCCCCTATCCTCCTATCACTGGGCCCTTCTTGTATCCTGTGTTGAACAAATTAAATGGTTTTACAGTCATATTGAACAAATTAAACTGCATGTCCCCATGTGCACCAGGCCACCTCACTCCTCTGAGCTTTGCTCGTGCTGCTTCCTTTGCCTAGAATCCCATCTCCTGCTCAGCTAAGCCCTATCTATACTTCTAGACCTGCTGAGCCTCACTTCTCTGCAGGCTTCCCTTTTCTCCTCCATGATCCACTTTGAGTCCCTTTTTACTCTTCTTTCCTAGTACCTATAATACTTAATTTGTTTTGCCACCCTCCCTCTACTGCAGTATAGGCTATTTAAGGGCAAGAAACCTCTCTGATTCATCACTGTATCCCCAGAATCTATAGGAGCATCTGAAATATTCTAGCCATTCAAACACATGTTTACAGAATGAACAGATAACTAAATCTAAGTCACTCTAAGATCTCTGAAGTGGTCCAGGGTGGATAGTTTACTTTGGTACCACCTGATCTCTACCAGAGGGCAACTCCAGTGTTGTGAAGATTTTCTTCTTTTCCTGGATTTAGACTTTGCTAGATAGCAACTGACATCTATCCCCCCCCCAAAATCTAGCCATCAGGTCTCGACAGTGTCACAGAATGAGTACTTTTCTACAGCCATATGATTATATTCCACATAAATTACTAAAATAAAAACTTGGCCAATTGACCACAGATACTGCCTTGCCAAGGCAAACTGGTCCAAGCCTCCAACTCCAGGAAAAGCTGTCATTTCAAATAAACTCAAAAAGATAGTTGCCGGGCCGAGCCCGTGGTGCACTTGGGCGAGTGCAGCGCTGGGAGCGCAGCGATGCTCCTGCCGCGGGTTCGGATCCTATATAGGAATGGCCAGTGTGCTCACTGGCTGAGCGCGGTGTGGGCGACACCACACTAAGGGTTGCGATCCCCTTACTGGTCACGAAAAAGACAAAAAAAAAAAGAATCCTTCAGTAAAAAAAAAAAAAAAAAAAAAAAAAAAAAAAGATAGTTGCCTACTACCTTCTTTAACACCCGGGTAGGAGATTTAATAATAATGCCCTACAATGATAGCAACACATAAATACTAAATAATTCAGAGTAGAAGTCAATAAAAACAATGATAATTCCTCAGATGAAAAACTTTATTGAAGAATACAGTATTTTTACTTAAATTTTTTTTTTTTCTTTTAAAAAGATGACCAGTAAGGGGATCTTAACCCTTGACTTGGTGTTGTCAGCACCACGCTCTCCCAAGTGAGCCATGGGCCGGTCCTTAAAAACATTTTTTAAAGAGCATAACAGTTTAGAAATTAAAAACCGTACTAGAAGATGCTGATAAAACTTACTTTCTCTCTGCTTGGAGAGATGTATTCTCTCCAAAAAAGCTATATTCTCTAGATAAAAAGCTTTGCAAAGAAACACCACAGATTTTATGGCCTCCACTCTTTGTCTGATGCTCATTTGCTTGGACCACACTCTGCCTTCTGTAGAGAAAGATCACCTACCCCCACATGTATTCTCATCAGCTCCTCACAGCGGTTTCTCTCCCTCAAAGAAGCCAGGCAGCCTGCCGAGGGATGTTGGCTAGATCACTGTTCACAAACACCATTCTTATTCTCTTTCTGGGCTCAGGACAGCAAATGTCCAGGATCAATATCCAAAGGAAGAGCCCCATTTGCACTTTCTCTATCTGGGATGGAATGAAAGCTGTATTTTGCAGGTGTGTGAGAGTCCTTGCCTCAAATCCCTGAGTTTTGGTCATAAGTCTTTTTGGGGGGTATAAGTCACAGATTACTTCATCTTCCCACCATGAGTACACTGCTTCCTCTCTTTCCTTTCCTCCCCCTAAGATCTTCCATCGGGCTCTTAAGTATTCTGCCTAAATCTCCTTGCACAGAGGCCTCTGTAGTAGGAGTCAGGAAACAGAGCAGCTTTTAATTATTTATACATGTAGGAGTTTTCCAGTTCTGAGACCCAGGTGCTGGAAATTCCATTTCTGAAGCCAGCCATTTTTATTTTAGTCCTGCTGCTTCCTTCAAGCTAACTATAAAGGTCTGGTGTGGAAGAATAGACATCAGCTTCTAATTCTTTGAGGGCACAGCCATGTCCGTAAAGCAACCTTCCCAACAGAGACATGTAAATTATATAGAACAGTAGGAAAAATGATATTGCCATCAGTGGGGTGTCTCCCAGCACCTGCTTGATGCATGTTATAAAATCCTGGGACCTGAGCCTTTCCTCATGTGATAGTGTAGTGAGAGGTGACATTTACGCTTTTGGAGGTAGCAGGGTAAAGCATTACCTTATTCCTCACTGCCTGATAAGAGTCTGTTGTATTTAACAGCCCTAGGAAAACCCAATCCCCAATCCCCTCTTTAGGACACAGTTTTATGGGCAGTAAGGAAGAGGGCTTTCGTGGGAACAGAAAAGCACTGTTGTGATATTAAACTGAAATTGCTTTGTTGTGGGTGAGGCAAATAACTCAAGAGTCTATTTCTGGCAAAACAATTACTTCAGGATTCCTCTTCGGACTTCATACCTTGTACTCTTGTACCTGGAAGCCTGAAGCACCAGCCCCCCTCCCCTGCAAAAAAAAAAAACCCAGTGGGCTATCTGCTCCACTTTCTACACTTGGGTTATAACAGCTCTGCAGTGACCCATGAAAAAAATGTCCATGTTATCCAAACTTGTTTCTGACCTTTTCTTGACCCAAACACAGATGAACAAGCCAAAGCATTAACTTCTACTCACTCTCATGAGGGTGACTATTTCATCCATATAAGGTCTAATGTGGCTCTTCACAAAGGACACCAACATTCCCAGCTGCTGGAACAGAAACTAAAATGGACAAGAGGTCAGCAAGTTGGCATCATGAAGGACAAAGAACTCCCAGGCTTACCCTAAGTCCACGTGAAGAAATAAAACAATTATGGAATCAGTTTCCACACTACCCCAACTACTACTGAGAATATGTTTCAAAGACTCAGACTTAAAACCTATGGTGGCAATGGTGGTGGGGGCTTTACACACCAGGCAAGCCAGTTACTGCACTGCAGAGACCCTGGGGCCAGACCAGCTGTTTTGAGCCACACTTTGCCATCGAATTGCTTTGTGACCTTCATTTAACCTCCCTGTGATCAGCATCTTCAGTGGGAAAATGGAGACAATAGTACTTATCTCACAAACTTGTTGTAAGGATTAAATGGGATAGTGTATGTAAAGCACTACAATAGGGGCATGAATACTGCCCAATGCTCAATAAAAGACAGTCATTATAGAAGGATTCTGGAGTCACTACAGACTTAAAAAAGGACATGAAATTTTTAATCAACCGTAAATGTACCTTTTGTTTATTTGGCCCTAATTAATTACCACTTACTTTCTAAAATAAATAGAGCTAACTCTTGATTATGGGTATTATAGTTCATTTACGGCAATTAACTCAATTAATTAGGTCTTAATTAATTAACTGTGTCGCTAAGAAATTATGAGTCAAAATAGCAAGCAAATTGGTGGAGGAATGGGATAAAAAGATTCTACTTAGGTTGGTACCTTGTAAGTGTAAGAAGAGATACCATCCACTAAATAAAATTGGGAATAAGAAAGCTTTGGATAAGGGAAATCCCAACTACTTTCCAGTTTAAAGACTTGTCTTTAAGGTGTAATTTATATTTTGTTATGTTCTTCAGATAGTGTCATATGTCATATTAAGTAGAAAATCAAATTTTTTATAGCTGTCTATTCCTTTGCTTCTCTCCATTAACAAAGATAACTTAGAGATAAACATATATATTTTCACTTTCATCCACATTTTGAAACTTGGGTAAGTTGGAGATACATAAAAAGTGTTATTTCAGGGCCGATCCTGTGGCTCACTCGGGAGAGTGCGGTACTGATAGCGCCGAGGCCGTGGGTTTGGATCCTATATGGGGATGGCTGGTGCGCTCACTGGCTGAGCATGGTGTGGACCACACCATGCCGAGGGTTGTGATCCCCTTACTGGTCAAAAAAAAAAAAAAAAAAAGTGAATCTCGCTTCTCATTACCTGAAGAAGCGAGATTGACAGGACCTACAGGACTGGACTCAGAGTCTGGACTAATTCCCCAATGACAAGGACAGCAATGGCTTCTAAGGCAGTGAGAGCCTGGTCACTACATGGCACAGGTTTGACCACCTGACACAGGTTTGACTTGATGGAACCATCCCTACCTAACTCCTGGGCTGCCCCCTCATTGAATCATAGCTGACAGTTTTTGTGAACTGGTCCCAATAAAAGTATATTACAGAGATCAAGGGACATGAGACTCTACATATAATGGTTCTTTGGCTAAATTTTTGTTATGTAGAACCTCAAAGAAAGTAGAAAACCTAAACTGGAGGAAAAGCAGGGCATTAGAGATGGCAGGGAGGTAAGAGAAAACCACAACATAGAAAGAGGAAACAAGCCTTCCCATTTTTGACATCATTTTCTTAGTCACAATTAGGAAGCCTCCTGGTGACTGATTCACACAGAGTGGCCACGCAATGGATACAGACAGGCAAGTGCCTTGTTCATAAATAAAGAGCTCAAGCAGTCATCTCTTTTCTTTTCCCTTAGGTTCTTTCGCCAGATTTTTCTCCTTTTCCCCCCCAAACACTATTATTTTAAAAGATCACATAGTTTGCTCCTGAAAAATATGGTAGACTAGATCTCTACCCTGCTATGAAAAGCCTAAAGTTAATTTGTAGAAGATAACAAACATGATCATTAGATTAGAGATGAAACCAGTCACATAAAGCTAGACATTCAAAGTGCTACTTATTATGAGAAATGGTGATGTAAAAAAAAAAAAGTGTCCACTGGCAAAAAAAAAAAAAAGACAAAGAAATGTGTCAGTTTTGATATGGAGCCTAGGTAGGAAAAAAGTCTCCCCTAAGAGTTCATAATTTCAGGCCTCCTATCACATGGGTTTAGGGGTTTATTTTAACTACTTGTGTGGCCTGGAAAACTCTAAGCTAAAAAACTAATTTAAAGTTCTTCTGGATTACCTGGCAGAGCAAATGCATATCCTCTCTGGAGAGACGCAAATTCAGAGCAGATTTTCTAGTATTGCTCCAGGGTAAGCCTAGCCGAATATCATATATGATCCAAAATTATAAAACAAATGAAGAAGTAGATCACTACAAGTGTGACTCAGCAGAAACAATAAACAGAATCAGACTTAAAGGACATTAAGACTTAAAGGACTTAAATGTAATGTAATTATTAGATAGAAAATGTAAGTCTATTTAAAATACTTAAAGAAATAAAAGTGGGAATAAGAAAGGACAGGTAGGGAGGGCTGGCTGGTTACCTTAGTTGGTTAGAGTGCAGTCTTCTAACACCAAGGTCATGGGTTTGGATCCCTGTACCAGCCAGCCACCAAAACAAACAAACAAACAAAAAACTACAGGTCAGGAACAAAGTACCACCAAAAAATACTAGGCATATTTGAAAGAACCTAGTATAACATAGAAATAAAATGTAGTTGAAACTAAAAATTCAATAACAGGCAAAAAAAAAAAAAAAAAGACAAACTGAAGAAATAGTGAACAGAAAATGGATATGAATAAATTTCCATAATGCATCTGAGAAATAAAGATGAGGACTGTGGACAACAAAACAAGCGACATTAAGGACAGAGTGAGGACCTCTGACAGTCTGATCAGAATTCTAAAAGAGAAAATAGCACGGTAGATGGGCAATATTACAAAGATAACAGATGAGAACTTCTCGAGAACAGACAAAAGGTATCAATCCTGAGATTCAGGAAGCTCTACAAGCCTCAAACAAAATAAACAAGAGAAATCCACATCTAGATATACAATAGTGAAATTTCAGGACAACAAAAACAATGAAAAGATCTGTAAAATAGCCACAGAGAAAAGAGAGATTAAGTAAAAGGAACCGTGATTTATCAGCAGCAACAAAAAGTCAGGAAACAGTGGGATAATACCTATGGTAGTAGGAGAACCTAGAATCATATTCTCAGCTAAATGAAGACTTAAAAAGAGGGCGAAATATAGACTTTTTCAGATAAACAAAAATACAAAGTTTACTTCAATGAATGCTCAGAAGAGAAATTTGCCTTAGAAGGAAACTGGTCCTAGGAGTAAGCTCTGACAAGGAAGATAAAATGAGAAATGAAATGACAAGTGTGGATCATTATAAACAATGCAAAATAAAACAGTAGTAATAATGTTTAATTTGGTGGTTAAAAAAAAAAAGGTAAAATAACTAAATAATAGCATAAGAGAAAAGGAAATAGTTTCAACAATTATTCTAAGTTTCAAATATTGTTCAGGGAAAGGATGGAGATGTTGATTAATCTTAGGATTGTTTTAAATAGCAAAGACTGGAAAAACCACAAATTTCCACTAATAGGGACTGGTTACATAGGTGTGTATGTTCACACAACGAAGTACCAAGCAACTGTATAAAGGAATGAACGAATTCTCAAATACATTGCTATGGCATGAACTCCAGGAAAAGTGAAAAAAAGCAAGGTTCAGAACACTATTTACATTACGTTATCTTCTGGGTAAGGAAGATGGGGGGGGGGGGAATATATATTTCCTTATATTTTCAAGAATAAACAAAGAAAGAACTTCCAGATAGCTGAACATGGGACGTTCTTGAAAGGTTGGTGGACCCAGAGAAGGCATGGAAGCTCTGCACCCCTTCCCCCATACCTTGCCCTATCCATTTCTTCATCTGGTGTTCATCAGTATCCTTTGTAATATCTTTTATAAAACACCTCAGAAAAAAGGGAAGATGTCTTGTGGCAAAAGGAAGAAATCAAGAAGTGAAGACACAGACTCAGATATTTCCAATAGTATGTATATTTGGTGTCTGGAAGAGAAGAAAACCAGTGACATCATGGACTTGGACATAGTTTTGTCTGCCTTTCCTGAATTTGAGAAAACCTCTTACAGTATAAAAAAAGAATAGAATCTAAAATTTTTAAGGAAGCCACTAACAAATTTTATTTTAATATTAAAGAACTTATCAAAATGCCTAAAGAAGTCCAGATGTTGAAAAATCTGAAAAGGAAGAATACTAAAATGATTTCAGATGTTGAAAAGAAAAGGCAGCATTTGATTGAAGTCCATGATGAACTGCTTCAGTAAGAACCACAATTGAAACGACTACAAAATATGATAAACTTAAGGAGAGAAAGTCCTCTTAGGAATGCAACATATTTCTTATCTAATTTAAAATAGCGTTATCAATATTATTCAGATGTTTGAGAGAAAGAACCAAATGTAAAGGAAAAGTATGATTCACCTCGTCTTCCAGCTCTGTTACTTAAAGCAAGAACACTTTTGGGAGCTGAAAACCATATGCAAAATATCAACCATCAATAGAGAAGCTCTTTGGCCAGGAATAAGAAGACCAGACTACTAAAATGTGCCTATCTAGCTACTGTCTGTTACCTTCTGAAACTACTTTTATAAATAAAATTTCTTTTTTAGAAGAAAAAAAAAAAGAAACAATGAAAAGATAAATTTAGGGACTGCAAAAAGGTGATTTTCTAATTCTATTATTCTTTCTGGATTTATTAGCTAGAAATCATCTATAAAGAACTTCATGTAATTAACTATTTAATTTGAAGTATAGATCATGCAGGAAAGGCAGAATAAATGCATGAATCCCTTAATTTATCAGTTTTTCAGAATAATGAGTCCAGTTCCTAGCAACCTTTCAAAGGTGACCCAAGCACACTGACCCCATCCCACCCCACCCTTGTTCTTTGGAGTATTATGAACTCATGTAGATACATAAATAAATATATATGTGTAAATACATATATCTCTGA